GCGAGGATAAACACGCGTCTCGTTTGACGTTCCACTAACGAACGCCTTGAATAATAAAGACGCTTTTGTCGCTCGAACAGTTATAGTTTTAACGCGCTCGTGTCACACGACCTATCATGTCGGCTCGCTCGCGTGTCTCTATCCTGATTATCGAGCGTTGCCGCGCGCAGTTATGCGTTAGAATATTCGATTAGACGAAGGAAAAGAGCGATCGTCGACAAATTGGCTACGAAAGTCCGATCTGTGAATCGTTACGGAACAAACACCGAGTCGGAGACCGTGTAAGATCGAAAACGCGAGAGCACGCTGATCGATGGAACGCGACGACACGCTACGACGACCATGCGTTAATCGTGCTCTCCGCGCAGAGGTGTTAACGCGACGCGTTAAACGGAGCTAATTTTCGCAGCGTGGAACAAGGGACCCGCGAATTGGTCATTCTTTCCCGATCTAATTGCTCGCCGGCTCGCAGCGTGGCAGATTAAGAGTGGAAAATCCAGTAACCCAGCCGCGTCATTTCTCAGCGAGTGTAATGAACATTTCCACGGTTACGCGCGGCGCGCGTCATTAATTCCGTAGACGGAGTTTCGCAGCGGACCCCGGCCGTTCAATTTCATTAATCGTTCCGGCAAAGCCCCCTTTCCGGGTTTCACTTAAATCGTAATCTCGTACGTGCCCGGCGCACCCCTGATAAATCTGTCTCTAACCGGCCTGTACAACCGTCAATCCGTCGTTTCGACGCCGGTTTCCGGCTTTGTCCGCAGCCCATCGCAGTTAATCCGCGATCAATGTTCCTTAATATGGTGCGTGGATTAGACGACTCCTTTCCGGCAAGGATTTCCGTGCTTGTCCGCTCGAAAGACGCGCGCGGCGAAAGTTGCTCGATTTTTCCGTGGCTTCGCGCGTCCAATAACGATGGCTCGCGAACGAGAGAGATATATCAATGGACTTTGACATAATCGCTGAAGATAAACGTGATAAATGGGAGGCAGAGAGGCTAGAGCCTAGCGCAGGTGAAGAGAAAGAGAGAGAGAGCTGGTAAAACCACACACCGGTGTACCCGCGCAGAGATGCGTTGAAAGAGAAAAGAGAGAGAAGGTTACCACCCTTGGTCGGAATTACCGTGAACCACTTGTCCCTTGATTTTGGATACGCTTGCTCCATTTTGCTTACCTCTGGAGAAGGATCTCTCTGGGGGATGATGTTAAGAGGGTGTGTTAGAGCGACGCGTCGACTGGCACAACGAAATCCTCGATTCGACGCGACCGAGGAGCGTACGATATTTTAATTTGAATTTATATTGGAGCCCGGAATTTATATTAAAGCCAACTCCGAATTCGAGTTCGTATTTAACTTTAAATTGGAACAGAAATCAGTCGGCGATCGAAGTAATTGCACGGGCGAGATTTCTGGAACGTCGAGCAAGGGTTACAAAGGTTTTATTCGCGAAGCCAGCCGACGCGCTAATGACGGGAACAAAGTCTCGTTATTCACGGGGATCACGTTGACAAAGGATCTTTCGGAGCGAAACACAGTGGAAGGTAGACCCAGAACACCTAGCGGTAAACGTTTCAAGCGAGATTATGTACATGCGTGTGAATTTTTATGAAAGTCGATGCACCTTGCCAGGACTACACCCTGGTGTTAGAGGACAGAGCGGGTTAAACGTAACAAAGGATCGATTATTGCAAAAGAGGTGGAGGGATCAAACAACGAAAAACGGAAAAAGAAAGCGAACTCGAGACACGGTAAAGCGACGACTGCTCGTAAACGAATTATTTCATTTTCCAAGCGAAACACCGTACCTCGACGAAATTTCGCGCCGTTGATTCTCGATTTAGCTAATGAAACGTTTTCGCCAACAGTGTACCAGATTGGACGCTTCTGACGCGTGGCACGCGAACTCGTCGAAGGCTAAAAGACACCGTGAAGCGATTACGAGAATAATATTTCATCGCGACAGCAGATGACACGTCGGTAAATGTAGATCCACGAGACAGATTAAAATCTGTCGAATTCTCGTTGTGACCCGAGAAAATGGGGCCCGGATGACCCAGGAAAATATCCAATTCGGCTTGGAAATTAAGCGAGCTACCGACACGTACGCCGGAAGAGGTATTCTTACACGGAAGGTCGTCTTCGCTGGTACACTGTTCGCGATATTCTTCGATATCGACTAGTACACAGTCTAATACAGTACAAATCGTTGCGCAAAATTTTCCGGTTTCGCGGAACGTACTTTGAAGACGCGGCAAAGATAGAAGAAAAATATGGCGCGCGGTCTGGATCGATCCGCGAAGAGAGAAGAGGCAAAAAAGGGATTATAGATGACTGTCGCGAGAGAGCGAGAGAAAAGAGAGAGCGAGAACACGAAGGGAGGAACGGTGATTACGATCAGGCAAGCTGGTGATCTTCTCGATCGATTCCGCGAAACGAGTTAAATTGACGTCAAACTCTCCTGCCTCGTCTTGCGAAACGCATAGAGAGTCGCCGGATGCACGCGTGTAGAACCGCGACAGACGTGTGCGTGTACGACTTCACCGTAGAAGCAACACCGTGGAACTTCTCCACTTAAAGTTAATCCGGAAGTTATTACTCCTCAGCCAGAGGAGGTCCTTAGACCGGCTCCACCCGGCGAGAGACGGCGCCACGAACTTTAAATGCGTTTTTCTGAAAACGTACTTCAACCTCCAGACGGTGGCGCATTTCGATTTTAACGCGTGCTCCTCGCGGTTCTTACGCGGTTACGTGGCTCTTTTGTGTTCTCCCGTTCTTTTCCTTCTTTTTCTTTCCTTTCCTCCTTTTCCCCCGCTTCTTCTGCTCCTTCTTCTTCTTCTTCTTCTTCTTCTTGTCCTTGTTCTTCCACTGCCTCTCCTTCCTCGTCATTGTCATCCTCTTCTTCTTCGACCTTCGTTTTCTTCCTCTGGGTTTCAGCAACGTAATCGACAACGGGGATCGAGTTTGCTCGCAGCTACCGCTTCCAGAGCGGCGATAACGTTAATGGATACGATTTCGATTCGTCATCGCGATTATCTTTCCCAATTATTCACACTACCGGCACGCTGACGGTCTTATCGTTGTCGACCTAGCAGGAGTCGCGTTTCTCTTTTTGGTTTACCGCAAAACTAATTTCCGCCAGGGTGCCATTAATCACAATGACGAAACGCGCGTCGCGGCTGATCTACGAAATTTCGCGTCACCGTCATCCCTTTGTCTTTTGCCCTGCCTCTCTCGCGATTTTCCTCGTTTGCTCTCCGCTCTTTAGAACCGATCATCCAGACCAACGGGTGCGACAGATTGCCGCGCTCGGTTTGCCGCGTTTCGTACGAATCATCGAACGATCGCGAAGAAACAGAAGAAATAAAAATGTCGGATGAACAGAGACGGGAATCCGAAACAGGACGATATCGTCGGGCTGGGTGTTCCGACGTACGGGGGATTATGTGGAGAAGGTGGATCTCGTGACACGCGGAAATGCGCATGAAAGGCTTATGTATTTTGTGTGTGAGTGCATACGCTCGTGCGTGTGTTTGTGTGCGTCTGAGACTTCGGAGGACGCAGACACGAAGAACGAAGGAAATAGAGGGGATGTTCGCGAGGACCGAGATAGAGAAGCGACCGCTGAGTTTGCGATTCTTCCTACAGCTCTGATCCGCCGCGAAATACGCTCTTCAATGGTCAAGCAATTGGCCAGTTCGCCGGACCATATGAAGCCGTCCACTCCTTCCTCATTTTCCTTCTTCTCTGGATATATCCTCTTTCCCCCGTCCTTTACCCCTCCGTTTATTTCCTCGCGATTTCGACTCCATGCTCTTTGCTCCATTTCCGTGGGTGAACAGGGACAGGGAGCAAACTGCGTCGAGGAACTCGATGGCTCGTATTCTTTCCTATCCGTTCGGAACTGTCCCAATTTTCCAGGGACTCGATAAATTTTCTGCAATAACGGCGATCGCGTAAGAAATACTCTTATTAAATTCCCCCACGATCGCAGCCGGAATCAAAGATTTTAGTATCCCGGCTTCGTTTCTTCTGCTCTCGACGCTGTTATCGAAATAGCGTTTACTCGATCCGTTCGCGAATAGGTACGGAAAGCAAAAAGAAATACGCGTTGAAAATTTTAACGATCGCGGAACGAAACGTAAGGGAGCTGGAGAAAAATCGCGGTGTAACGAATGCGAAGGTTCAACTAGGCGATATTTCAACGATCGATCTCGGAGAGACGTTTCCGCGGTGCGAGCAACGGCCACACATCTCCGGGCATCTTTCCTCCGCGCGAAATCGACGAGTCGAATTTCCGCATACTCGACGGTTAATAATTTTTCACTCCCGACCACCGATCGAACCGTCCAATCGCGCGCGTAACTCTGGCTGCCGAGGGAGATCCCGCGCGATCGGATCGAGATCCGCTCGGATAGATCGTACAGATCGGCCCTCGTCCAAGGTCATCGAAAGACTATGATCGATATATACACACGGACACACGCACACGGCATCGTTCAGGAAGCGTTTCTCGTTACCGCGAAGGGAACGAGCTAGACTCCCAGGTGTCATGCTGGATATCTCTCGAATGGAGCGGTCGTAAAAGCTTCGCCGTGTAGATACCGATCCATGTGGAAAGTCGGATCGCTCGATAACCCGGGGACCAAGTGACAAGCGCGATCTACGCTCGATCGGATCGGACGTCTCCTTTAATTGGTGCTAGTCGACTCATTAAGGATAGAAAATGTCTGGCAGCGCGAGTGTTCCCACTTTTCTCTCCCTTTTTACTTTCCCTTCCTTTTTCTCCCTTTAGCTCCCCTTTTTTTCCTCCTTTTAATATCTTTCTCCCCTTTGCTTTCGATAAAATCGACGAACTTCCAGAACGGATTCGGTTCGATGCCATCATAACGCAATTCCTCGACGCGATTCGCGGGATAGGAACGAAGGATCGGAAACGGGCTGATTGTTCGGTACCAGTTGTGTACGTAGGATGCAAGGACGACGATCATCGGAATACTTACTCGTTGTTCAGCACCCGGAAAGACTTGGGTGACATGCAGTTGACGCTCCACTCGGTGTTCCCGTGCTCGTTGCATATCGTTATCGAGAACCTTCCATAATTCGCTCTTATGAGGTGGATCAGCTTCCCCTCGCCGCACTCGATCCACAGTGTTTTGCCTTCGCAGGCGTACGCGGTGTCGTACCTATCTGTAACAGAGACGAAGAAAGGGCCTCGTTAGTCGCTGCGGTTCGTGTCAAACGCGTGGTGAACGCGAACGTTTCGCGTGCAAAGAAAATTACGCGACGATGTATACACTGGTATACAATGGTCTCGTGGAAATCGCACTGTCAATCGCGCGGAGTGTACAACGAGTTTTTCATTGCCCGATGGAAACAACGGAAGCAATCCAGCTGCTGGTCAAGGCAAGCGACAAACACTTGGCAGTGGTAGCAGAGCATGCCTCGTTTCGCTCTTAAAAGTCGGCGTATGCAACGAGGGTCTAATTAGTCGACGCGATCGTCGAACAATGAGAAAACGAATAAAATACCGGAGTCACGACTCGGTTGTAAAGAAATAACACCACGGACCCCCTTGCTCCGCCCCGTTGACGATAGTCTCCGGCGGCGGGGCGGGGGGAGGGGGCTTGAATTACCGAGAATGAATAAGGAGTCCAGAGCAAGGAGGAAGGGGTTGGAGGTTTCCAAGCGTCGAGAGTCAAGGACACGTCAAAGTAGCTTGCACGAAATTACAGTGACGAGCCAGTTGGAGAAGGGTAGCTCGGTGGTTGTTGCCGGGCAGGCCGAGTCAGAGGGTGCATTACCGGCACGCAGTTGGCTGGGCTGTGTCGCGTTGCGAAGTGTAATGGAATTAAGATAAAGGACACCGGTGTATAGACGCGCGTATACAGGGGACGCAAACAATGAGACGTCGTCGCGAGAGAGAGAGAGAGAGAGAGAGAGAGAGAGAGAGAGTCAGTTGTTGCCGCACGGTTCGCGGGATCGACTGACAGGAGGTCGAGATAGCCGGCTCAGGCTCAGGCTCGGCCCTTTGTCGATCCTCCCCCATCTATTCGCCGCTCCGGGGATTTATCCCGCGGAAAATCTGCCAGCGGGAAGCTTCCTTTGAAAGCAAATTAGCGAATTTACGGGCGCGACTTTCCTCGAAGAAAAGTCGGCCGAGTCCTTCTCTCGCTTTTGCCGCTGTCGTTGCTCTCCTCCTCGTCTCGTCACACGATGCGTCTGCCGGCGACGCGTTCTTCCGGGGCACGGTTGCTTTTCTTCGCGGATGCGGCTCGTGGCTCGGTTTAATGGCCGCGAAAATGGCTGAAGTGGCGCGAGGATATTCCGTCTGCTCGGCAAACATTCAGACGGTTGAAGAAGTGCGAAGTAACGGGCGTAGCCGGGGAACATCGGCACGGTGATTACCTGGGATTACGGAAGGATTAGACAACCAAGTAATTCTATCGAAAGTAACGTCTAGACCGTGTTAATCCGTATATCTGTTTTAAGTGCGCGATAAATTAAACTTTCTTCGCGTACACCGATATTTCATTATTTCCACATCGGCACCTGGCGTCAACAATCGCGATTGTTACGCGCACCGAGGTGCGGAACACGTTCGAGGTAGATAAAAAGAGCTGCTAAGAAGACTAACGGCCAGAAGAAAGGCTCGTAAAACTAGGTCCAGGCTTATTTAGACGGAGGAATGATAGATCTGCCATAATACCGGTCAGCTATGGTGCTCGGCACAGTGACGAACGGCGCAGGCGGTGTGTGTGCTGTGTCTCGAAGAAGGAAGAAGGCGGCGAGAAGTACCCCGGGGAACGGACCAAGAGGACTAACACGGGGGCAAGGCCGAGAGGAGTACTATAGCCGGGGAGAGGGCTGTAATAACTCTGTCCGTGAAAGCCCCGTCGTGAGTTCATTAGTTCCATACCGACGCGCCACAATGCCATTTTAGACCGCTGTTAGGACTTTTCGCGGACGAGCGCGGTTCGGCGCCATGTTTCTCGCGCTCGCGAAAAATTCCACGCCGATGAATTCCGGCGCGTTCTCAGCTCGATTACTCGTGTCGTCGCGGGAAGAACGAAGAAAGGAGGGGAAAAAAAAAGAAAAAGGACTCGATGACGACACGATCGATATTGGATCGTTAAGTTTAACGAGTTTTTACGAAGATCGAATGTCGGACCTTACCTAGCCTTTGTATTCCGTGAAACGAAGAACAAAGGACAGACGATTGTACGCCGTAATAAGGTAAACTCGAGCCTATCGACACCGATTCGAGGGGAGTACATTAGAAGAGAGTAGCCGTAAAAACGCAGGGCGGTGCGAGCGGCACGAAGAAATGCCGATTTTACGGTATCTCCAGGCTTTCCATTACCGTAAAAGACCTCGAGGTATTCGTTTTAAACGAGAACAAAATCGCCGGTCACGCCGGGATGGATTCCTCGAGTCGCGGCAGGGAGAGCGAGCGAGACGGAGAGAGAGGGGCAGAGAGAAAATAGTAGATTTTATAGGATCCAGGTAATTTCTCACCGCTTCCTTTCCTAGGTGTTCGCGTCGCGATTAACCGACCCCAAGGCACCGGCCTCGCTTATTCCTCGCTGCGGTTTGTTCACCGTTAATTAAGCGTGTCTCGATAACACCGTAAGCGGCAGGTAATCGATATACGGCGTCATCGTGGCTCGAACAGCATCCGCACGGCTGAGACAGAAACGCCATGTGCATCGGGTGTACTACGCGTCCGTTGTACGTAGGAACCGTGGCACGGTAAAAAGCTTGCCGGTGCTGCTGACCGTTGCTGCTACAAACGGAGCTCGAATGAGCTTTGCTTCCGTGAAACGAGCGTGTCCTAACCGCGGCCGCATGTCGCTCGCCTCGCGCGTCACTCGCAGCTGCGCCCTGCAACCGGTGCATTCTCTCGGTGCACCTCTAACGCGAGCACGATGAAAAAAAGGCCGCGTTCAAGCTGACGTAAAGGAACACGCTCCGCACCAGCTTCCTTCTCGTCCGAACGCCGGCCCTCTGGCATTCCTCCCCCTTTTATCACGGCAGACCGGTCACTTTCGACCTTTTTCTCTCCTCTCCGTCCGCGTTTTACCTTTTTGCTTTCGTTCCCCTACTCCACGCTGGCATCGAGTTTTTCGCTTCCGAATTTAATGCAGGCGAGATGTTTGCGTCTTTTAGCGGTAGTTAGAGGCGTTCGGGTGTCGTTTGCCTTTTTCAATATAATCGAGGCAAGTGTACGGGCTATAATAATACCGGTTAGACCGCTACCCGAGACAATGGCCCGGTCCTTTTGTTGGCCGCGTTAAGGTATCGCGGTAATTAATTGCGATACTCTCGACATCGAGAGTAAACGATGACTCTTCCTTCTCGCGAATCAAACACCAGTCGTGTCGTGGCCATTGTAACCGCGACTTTCAGTCGTTTCCTCCGTCAGTCACGTCGTCGTTACTCTCTAAATGCGCAGCGAGACAGGCAAAGGGGTAGAAGACTATTACGATCCGCGCGGAAAGCGAGATTGAAGTGCCGCGAGCTTCCTGTGTCGGGAAGCGTTACCTCCCGTTTCGCGATTTCGTTACACGGGCTGTCTTGAAAAAAAAAACGAAAGAAAAAAAGGAAAAAGGAAAAAAGAAAAAGGAGAAAGAAAATGTTCCTCGCGGAAGCGCGCACCCGAACACGGAGGATAATGACGATACGCGGAGGACGCTGCGCGATAACCTGGGCTCGTCGTCTCGACGAACGAAGAACGACAGGAAAATCTGCCATCTTTTTACCCGAGTTCTCGCGTCTGACCCTCGCATCGCACTTTGACGGAGTGCATTCGAATGAATGCCGTGAAAAGTTTTTAACGAGTGCACTCTCTCGCCGACGCTGCAACGCCCCGTCGCCGCGTCTAGCGAAAATGACGACGACGTCGACGTGATCCGAAGGTGCAACGACGCTGTCGTCGGGAGAAAAATATTCCGACGAAATTGCTGCACGTTGTTACCGCTTTGCCTCCCCGATTGCCTTCCAGAAGCGATAAACGATTCGTCGATCTCGATCGAACCCAACGCTCCGGATATCTTCCCCAAAAGTAAATTCGACAAAGGGAAATTAATTTAGGGAAACGATCGTTTCGAAATAGACTTTTGCAATGAAATTTGTATCCCAGCGAAACGAACGGAGAACAAAGTCCTTAATTCGCGATATTTCGAGCAGCGCCCCGTCGGTACTATCGCGTCTCGCGCCAATTAATCGGGTCTCGATTGTATAACGTTCAAGGAGAGTATCTAATCAACCGAGTTTCCCGAGATTGCGGCGGAGACGCGGATTTCCATCACGGTCCTATCGAAGTTCTTTGAAGTCGACCCGGTGGCTGTCGTCGCTGTCTCGCGACAGACGCCGGTCGCCAGGGAAGGTGAGAACGCCGCAGGATTTCGTGCGGTCAATGCGCAGCCTGAACTCTGCCCAGGGATTCTAAGTACGGATTCTGAGGCACAACGGGCTTCAAACTTGCCGTCGCTACCTAGAAAGCTCTCTCGTCCATGTGCGCGTTGCTGTAAAGGCGAGGCTGCGTGTATCGGTTCGCCTGACGCGCGCGTAAGTGCGCGTGTACCCGTGAACGATGGGGTGGAAGCGCTCGAATACCGGCAGGACCACCCCCTGGGACAAAGTTTCAAGGGAGCCGGTCCGAGTAACCGTGTTTCGAGTCGTTCGATCGACCTCGGGATTTACGCGATGCGTCAACTCGCAGCATAGAAGAGTGCCGCGAAAGTAACTGCTCGCGTGATCGCGCGGTCGTCGGCCACCGTCGCGAGACTCCTCCGCTTCGATTTGACTTGGAAATCGGTAAAAATCGCACACCTCGAACTCGGGTTCCAGGAAATCGAAGGACTTCACGGTTCGATTCGGTGAAATTCAAAGTGGATCGATTCGGGAGCGAAATTGAACGTGGCTAATGAACCACGGGATCGTGTTTTACGCGATCGGATTAAACAGTTCGATTAAAGATCGCGTCGTCTTCACCGGGTGAAACGAATTTTTGAACTCGGGCGATTCGAGGAACGGCGGGACGAGAGAATACGCGATACGGGTAGAGGAGACAAGAAATTCCAAGTACCGGAGTATCAGCGTTTCCCGGAGGGAGATAATTAATTATCCGTACTACTCCATCGCGCGTGTAGGGCGAACGTATGGCCAATAAAGCATTCGATATTTCT